AAAGGAAAGTATTAGTACCGAGCGGCCTTACCACGTGGGAAACAAAAATGAAAAGGGAACGTTTCTCGCACGGGAAGGACCGCCCGACCCACGATACTTGGTTCTTAAAAAAGTAGACCCAAGAGAGCGGGCAGTACCTATCCCGGCCTTGATTAGTTGGTCGGGGGTCAGATATCCCATGATATCACAACATTTGTCCTTCTCTATAGCGAAGACATCCTTGCAGATTTGTTTAGAAAGGAGCGGATCGGGAGTTTTTTCGGGAAAAGGCATTCCACTTGTTCGGGATCAGGCCGTCCGGGACAGAGACAAAAAAGAACCGGTTCTTCCACCCCTTGATCGAAGTAGGGTTACCCTTAAATAGGATATGACCCGATCGGGCAGTTGCCGCCAGGTAACCATGTGTCTGCTGGGGAGTCACCTTGAAGAATTGATGGAACAACTCTATGATGGGGGTAACGTCTGCGTCTTTACAACGGCAAATGAAGCCCGCTATTACCCGATAGGAGTTTGGCATAACTTGGGCTGGTACAATCTCATAGAAGTTCAGGAAAGAAACGAAGAAGGGCTGAAGAGGAAACCTAAGCCCAGCTTTTACTGAGTCTAGATGGACCACCACCATCCTAAGAAGGTGCCGCATCGGATGAAGCCCAGCCTGAAGACAGAAGTTAACTGGATCCGGAATTAGGCCTGGGATTTGGGCCCTATTATGAGAGGTCAATTTTTGCCTCCTTTCCCTAATTAGCCTCAGGTCATCCTTATGATGGGGAACGTCGCCCGGGAAGCCGACCGCCATTGAGATGAGTTCATCACTAGATTTCGTATCATCGGAATCCTCATCTGTAGAAGAGCTGGCGGAAGATTCCTCCGCCTCCGCCCTAGTCTCCACCGTCGCCTCATTTGAACCATTAGCAAAGGGGACCCTTATGACGTCCACAACGGCAGCAATATGGTCATCCCCTTGGGAAGCCATTTCCGAATCAGAAGAACGCGATTGAGAACTCATACCGACCAAACCGAAGAAGAAGGGATGAAAAATACCTGAACACGAAAAGTTTGAGGAAAGTTAGAGAGAAGGCAGAGCTAAAGCACGAAGGGTTGAGAATTCGAAACCCAGAAATGAAGAGCTAAAGGCTAATTTATAATCTGACGAATGTCGTATCAACGACCAACCAAATGATGACACATCACCAAAACTATTAGAAATAACACGTGTCGCGTGGAGAAGCAAAGATCAGTAATCATGACGGTTATGGGGGAAATCAAACGACAACCACCAGAAAGGTACTAATCGTGGCATGGGGAATCAGCGAATTCTGGATTCTGATCGCCATTCGGCAGGTAACTTCTACTTCCCAATGCACTCACTACCGTTCGAGACATCGGAAGTGGGGGACTCGTGTTGGGATATTGGGCCGCAGGCCCAATACTCGGATCTAAGGCCCAAGATATCCAGTCCATTAGGCGGGGCCATCGTCCAGAAAATGAACCAGCTCTTGGGAAAAAATGTACCGAACGAGGTTCAGATCCATTAACATACTTGGGCCAAATCATTAATGGGCCAGATCAATAATGACTCCAGATCAATAAAACCGAACGGGGTTCGGGTCAACCAGTGTAATGCCAGATCAACGGAGATTCCAGCGGGATCCACTGCCCGTTCGGGCAGCGGGTAGCTGACAAGTGGTAGGGGGCATTTATTGATAAAGTATGACGGCTGCTAGTGGGAGCATGAGTTCCAAGTGGCTAGGTAAAGCAATCAATCAACATGAAGTACCCCATACCCCCCATTAGTATAAATAGAAGGATTAGATTCATTGTAAGGGTTAGCATTTTGATACTCAAGCCTAGAATAGCATTATCTCTCTGATTTCTTGTATTAGTTACTATTCCGACATACCATTCAGGTAGTTTACAGTGTAATAATCAAATTACTTAATACAAGTGGGCTTTTGAGTGTTCGTTGATATCATCTTTTATATTTCTTTTATACACTAAATTATCGTCCCATTTCCTGATATATCCAAAGTTTGTGTTGGGCTTTCGGATCTACGGGATTAAACCTCAACAGTGTTCTTGCTTTCTGTGAATTTAATGATCGTCACACCGCTGAACATATTTATATTTTGATTGAGCGTATTTTAATTGAGTATAATTTAATTGATAAGGTGCTTGCTATTGGTTTTGATAATGCTACTAATAATACTGCTACTATTCCTAGATTGCGTGAATTGTGTGGTTCTACTTCTTTGATGTGTAGATTTTTTCATCAACGATGTGCATGTCATGTTCTAAATTTATGTGTGCAAGATGGTCTAAAAGCGTTGGGAGCATCTTTGGAGGTAGTCTAGGGGAGATTAGACGTATTTGAGGTAATGGACAACTTAGAAACGAGGTTGAGCGCAGAATCTAGTTCGGCCGGCAATGTCCTAACGCAATGTAGAACGAGGTTGAGCGCAGAATCTCTTGAGATGCTTATATGCTATCACGATTGGTTGAAGGCGGCCCGTAGAGCTCAAGAAATTGACATCACCCCATCCCAACACTTTATGGATGAATCTATAACCGAGGGTGGCTCTACCTATGTCGAAGATTCCGATTGATTAGTATTTCATGTTTTAATTTTACCTTCAATTCTCAATTGTAACTTGTAAACTTGTAGATCATATTTCAAATAAATTTACGTTCATTTTTTATATGTAGCATTTTTTCCTGAATTCATAAAATTAATTAATTAATTTTACATTATGTATTTTATTCAAACTAAAACATACAAAAAAAATTGAAATCAAAAGCCTCAAACGGCTATATATCCGTTGGGCACTTTGGTTGTTTGAAATTTGAATAAATAGAGGCATAGAGCCGTTGGGGGTGGGGGTGGGGTGGGGGTACAAAAAATTCTATAAATACTCTTACTTTCTAACATTTTTATACACATCTTCTCCAACATCCAATCTCTAATCTTCATTCTCCATCTTCATCTCCATCTATTGTAGAATTATTATATCTACCATTTTTAAGATGGAAAGTCAGTATGCCGTTATACGGTATAATTTTGATAAGCAGAAGGACCCGAGGACCGGGATGTGGTACGCAACTTGCAAATGGTGCGGGAAAAAGTGTAGCATGGGGGTTTCACGCGAATACGGGATGACAATGAAGCATATTAAGTCATGTGACAAAGCCAAAGGACCGGGAGGTGCAGGAAGTTCCGATTGATTACAATTTACAAAATATATTTCATATTGTGTGTTTCTCATAATTGTCAAATGTAATTCTTGTTTCATTTCACATAAATGCACTTGAAGTTTGTTTTTAATACTTGTATAAAACTATAAAGTATAAATTATAAAAAAATGGATTTAACCGGCCCGGCGGGTGGCCCGACCCCTGACCCGAGCGGGTGGCCCGGCCCGAACCGGACCCGTCCAGACCTCGGGCCGGTCCCGAGTCCATAAGTTACAAACCGGCGGCCCGACCAGGCCTAGGCCCGGCCCCGACCCGGCCCGAGTCCATGTCTAATACCAGCCAAAGATTTTAGCAAATCCCATGAGAGTCTTCTACTTATGGTTGGACTCGGGCCGGGCCACCCGGCCCGTTACTGTGCGGGACCGGGACCGGCCCGGTTCTCGGGTCCGGGTCCGGGTCGGGCCTAGGCCCGGGGGGTAGGGCGGGTCCGGGCTCGGGTCTCAAATTTGGTGAACCGACCCGGCCATGTCGGGCCGGGGCCAAATTGATTTTTTTTAATTTTTTTTTCATTTTTGGGATTCCACCCGGGTTGGGCTTGATGGGTAGGATGGGTTTGGGGAGGTTTGGGAGGGTGGGGGTGAGGGGGGTGGGGTTAGGAAAGCAAAAAAAAAATCCAAACCGTAGGCCCGGCCCGGCCCGGACCCGGACCGTACCCGGACCGGACCCGGCGGCTACCCGGACCGGACCTGGTCCACCATTCCTGAACCGCCGGCCCGCCCGGGCCTAGGCCCGACCCGGACCCGGCCCGGACCCAAGTCCACCCCTACTTCTACTGTTCCTTTTTGGGCAACCGTAAAACCCTGTCAACCTCCAAACATGCCCCCGTGGAGTTGTTTTAACATTTGTATAGATATAGTTTCTGGAAAAACTATTTATTTGCATCTCAACATTTTCTCTCCAGAACCCAGCCAAACTTCCATTATGGCCTTCACTATTGACAGAAAAAGCAGCATCCCTAATTTCTTGCACACCTCTTCTATACGTTCATGCTTGGTTAGGGTCTCCATGAGGAATAATGTCTGGCCGATTCGTTTTAAGAATATCTTCCGGAACTTGGACTGTTGCCAGGTTCCCTAATCCCCGGCAGTTCTAGTTGACGCATCCCATCCCTTCGACGTTGTACTTACAAACTGAACTCGAGACTCATCCCACTAACATTGGCCATTGGGACATAAGCAAGTGATGTGGTTGTTAAGAAAAGTGATTTTATATGGTTGATATTGAATTGACAAAGTAAAAATGATTTGGAACCATCTCAATCAAAGGGAGATGAACTGAAAAGGAAAGATGAGACAATCGAAGTGAGATGGACCGAAAAGAAAAGATGAAACCATTTTAATAGGACATAGAAAATATATTATAATATACTCATTTTTATACATGAATGATATCTATAAGACTATAAATCTATATTGATACTTTTGTTAAATTAGAGTACTAGCAATATCTACCTTTACGGATTTATCATCATTGCGCAAAGCAAAACACTTATCTAAGCGGCCTAAGCCTAAGTTCACATGTTGTGTCAATGCAACAAAGAGAGTGTTTGAACTGATTCTGCTTCTGCTTTTTTTTTTAAAGCAGACGCAGAATCAAATCAGTTTTCAGAATCTGGTCTCGCCCAGCTTCTAAAAAACTGATTCTATGAGTAAATTAGAGCACCAAAAGTACTTCTGCACTTTCACCCAAACACTCTAACTTCTGCTCTCTGAATGAGCAGAAGCATTTTTAAGAATCAGATCCAAACACCCCAAAAAACAACGATTAAGCAAAGTGGATGATAATAAATCTAAATCCTACAATTAAAGAGACACACCTTATTGTTATAAAAACTGGAAATGGATGAATGTGAATAATATGAACTGGAAAGAGACATATCTATTGTTACAATATTGACCTTTTTTTTAGCAAGAAAGAAATTAAACACTCCCCGTAAGCGGGAATCCCCTAGTTCTTTAAAAAGAAAACTTGAAAGCACCTGCATTTGAATCTATTACGGATTCCCAAAAGGACTGCTTTGTAGACTCGAGCATTTTCTCCTCTGCTTTTGCAGTCAGATGATCAATGATTCCAGGTTGAGCTGCTTCAATGGCTTTCTTAAACTTGTCATACAGATTCACCCGGTCATCTGTCCCGGATACCAGGCTGCTAGCATTTGGCCTTTTCAGAAAAACCAAGACGTTCAATAAATTACTACTGCAAGAAAGAGATCATTTGTCCATTAGGCTTGAACACCAAACATAACACATACATTCACAGCTCAACAAGGTTGTCTAGATCTGCTTTTAATCATATTGTTCAGGATGCAGAAATATCTAAAGATGTATATAAACTATAGAGTGTAGTAATTCATCAATTAAAAATTAAAAATTGGTCAATATGCATAAGATGATGTCAGGAGTGACATTTCTCTTTGTATCAACTGATCCAGTCAGCCGAGTAAAGCTGTGTTTGGATGGAGTGTTGAGGGGAGTTAGAAACAGAAGTGTTAGGAAGTGCAGACACTGCAAGGTAAGTTTAAGTACATAGTATAAACTTACCTCATTTGGGAGAGTTAAAGTGTTAATAAAGGAATACTTTTTCACTTAAATTTACAAAAGTGTCCTTGTACCTTTGACTTCAATTCTTCTACCGGTCATCCTTACTAAAAAACATATAATCAATTAAAAAGACACATGTGGATAACAAAATATATAATGACATTGTATGTTTATTTTATGACTATTACGAAGTCTATATATATATATATATATATATATATATATATATATATACACACACACACATATATATACACACACACACACACATATGACTTCAGAAGTCTGTATATGTATATGTCAGACATGAATACATATTGTAATATAAAGCATCATTATTTGTTAACATATATACACACAGAAATGCATAAAGACATTTAAACTATTTGTATCTCCGTAGGGATGTAGATAAAAATTTATAAAAATACATATTTGCCATTACCGCGGACACTTTTCAAACTCATGTGGCTTTTTGTGTAAAGTCAAGCATTTAAAAAAACAACTTTTCGATACGTTGTTCTAAGAATTAAAACATAGAACTAAAATCCAAGAAATCCAAAAGTCAAGAACTTTCAAACAGATACATTTTTCATGAATTAAAACAAATATCACGAGAAGAGATGGAAAACCGTGTATGAAAAATAACACATGAAGAGAATATACGACAGTAGTCCACTAGAGAAGGGCGACCAATTATATTTGATAGGGTTCAGGTTAATTTTTTTTCAACTTTTGACAGGGCATAGATTTTCCGACACTTAAATATACCCCAAATTAGAGTGTTAAAAAAGTGAAGAATAGAGGTGTTGGGGAGGTTAAAACCCGTTTTTTTTTTCAATTTTCTCTTCCAAACGGGTGTCAACTTCAGCCCCTTTTAACACTTCCATTACTAACACCCCTCAACACTTCATCCAAACACAGCTGTGTTTGGTATACAAATATAGTTGACTTGGTTTATAAGAAAAAAAAGATAGAGTTACCAATCTGGCAGTAAATTTTGGCATTATATTGGATTTAATACTCCCTCCATATTCTTTTGTTGGCTACACTTTCCATTGTGGGGTGTACTTCAATTTTTGCTACACTTTCCTTTCCGGAGTGTATTTTAATTTTTGCTACACTTTCCCTTTCGGTAAATTTCCCCTTAAAAAATATTCAATTACCTTTACTTTTTCATTTTCTTTTTCATACTTTTCCACCATCTCTCCTACTTTTTGTAAAATATTCATTACCACTACTACTTTTCCCTTAGATATTGTGCCAAATTCTATTGTAGCAAACAATAGAATACAGAGGAAGTATAAGAAGAAAAACAGAACTAGCTTCAGAACAATTTGAGCATGTTTGGTTAACATAACTCCAAAAAACAAATAGAGCTTGTGTCAAATAAAAAATTGATGAATTGGCCTCTTGGCAGTTTGGCACACCACAGATTCACAATTGCTGTTGCACTTGAGATTGACAAACATTGAACAAACAACAGAGACATGCATTGCAATATAGCTAAGAAGTGAACTCTAATTTCAGTTGACAAATTAACTCAACAATATATGCAAAAAAAAAATTGACATGGGATTCTCTAAGATTTAACCCCAAAATTCTATTATTGCTTCTCTCAAAGCTCGTCTACTCTGTCTATGAACGCCAGTTTGATTTGAAATTTTTCACTTCTGAAAAAACACCATTTGCATCCTAGTGTAATCACTGAAAATCAACCCTTTTTACGAATTTATTTTTCAAGGGACTCTATAAATTAAAAGGCTCATATGGGTGGTAATCTGGAAACAGTATACCTGCTTACAAAATTCTGGGTAATGGCTATGGAATCCTCCAAATTGATAACCAAATGCCACCATCCATTAGGGACAAATATCACTTCTCCAGCATTACAAACACACTCAATTGGCTTCTTCTTGCAATTTCTGGTTTGCTCATAGAAGTTCATGAACCACTCCATAATGGAAACTGGGCTTGCTACTTCTGCACCATCTGGGCTAGGATGCACCCCTGGTGGGACAACGTCAGGCGGAAACAGCACCCATTTCTTGGAACCCTTGACCACAGCATTCCATGCTGAGGTGGAATTCGGATCTATATGGAATGAAGATCCAGAGCCAGCCGGGCCGATTATGATCCATCTATAATCTGGCCTTTCCTTACCCAAAACACTAAACAAATCCTCTTTAAAGTAGTCTGGTACATCGTAATCCAATCCCAATTGTGGAACCTTTTCTGCGAACTTTGGATCAAATAGATACAGCGGTCTTTCTTCCTTTGCTTGATCTGAGTACCTAAAGTAGTCCTCAAGCTTCATTTCCACAGGCCCTACGGAAAACTTCACATCACCACACATCTCAACCAAACAATCCCTATCCCATTTCTCAAGTGCAACCCAGTTATCCAGACACCCTTCCAACAAGACAGGCTTGTTGAGTTCTTCAAAATTCGAAATGAATTCTTGTACGGAAATACCCCTTCTCCTAATAATATTATCTCTTTCAATCCATTCGTGTTTCATTTCAAGATTAGCACAAAGCCAGCTCTGGAACAAGTAATCTGAATAAAAGTCCCTAACTTTCAATCTACTACAGAGAAAATGAAAGGAAGGTTTAAAAGCAGTGATGTAAGTACACTTCCACGACCCGTTATAAGAGAATCCAACCTTGCACCCCTCCAGCACAAGATTCCTCCAAAGGGGTTCATGGTTACAGAAAACGTAGAAAGATTTACTCACTGTGCACAAGACCCCCAAATCGGTACCTTCCAGAAGGCCTAGAATGTCAAGCACGAGCTCGTCCGTAAGGGTTTGGAGATTTCCCAGGCCAGTGTGTCTCGAATTGTGGGAGGATGCACTGTAGTAGAGGTTTCCCAGAGGTTGGACACCATGAGAATGCGATGGAGTAGAACCTCTCAATTGGAAACCGTCATCTTCTTCAGGAATCAATGGCTCCTCATCTCCATCTGAATCGTGTTTTCTGGAAACCCAAGTTGCCTTTTTGAGCGCAGATTTCTTCTTGTGGGATTTTTTTCTCTTGATAAGGTTCCTGAAGAGTATGGGCTTGGAAGACAGCATTAGTTCAGACAAATTCTCCGATTGGCGTAGTGAATCGAGTGACCAGAGTTTAGAAAATTACTCTCTTCGGCTATATTCTGAGTGGAAAGCCCTAAATCTTACAAGATCTCAGCCTACTCCAATTAGCTTCACGCTCTCGTTATATCTTTTCCTTTGACTTTTGCCACGTCTGACTTTGTAACCACCTTTGACGGAATTGACGAGTATGGAGATTCCATTAGCCCAATACACCTTGTATTTATGCACATGGAGGTTCAACTCAACCCATAGCACTTGTAACTTTCAACGAGCACCATGAGTTTCGATCTTTGGTTAATATTCCAACTTTTCTATGACTCAACCATGACAACCAATTGAGCTACATGTGTATGTTCTTTTCCCTTTTTCTCAATAATTTTAATAGTTTCTTATTATTCTTTTTCATGTACACAAATCTCAATCACATTTTTTTTACTTTATTATTTTTCATATCATTCAAACTTGACAAAATTTTGACTGGCGGAAGGAATGTTTCACATAATCACAAACAAGAGTCACAAGATATTCCAAATGACAGTATATTGGAGGTTTACTTAGTTTCCTGAAAAATGGTTCGAAAATCTTGTCAATTATTACAATATTCATATTGGAAAAATATGATATTATCTACATCTTTATTGTATATATAATATATTGATGATCTATAATACCTAGATCTAGATAGAAGAAGGAGAGAATGAACATAGTAGAGAGAGAGAGAGTGTAGTAGGAATGAATTAGAGTTCAAGTTAACTTCGGGTTAGAACATGGACATAGAGTCTATTTATAGGGACAATCGGGCTGATCTAGAGAATAGCGGGCTAGGCCCAATACAACATACATCAGATATAAATAGGACCCTTGGGCGTACAAAATGTCGTTGGGTCAATACACAAAATGGGCTAGACCCAATACATGAAATACATCATCTCAGGTACCCCCGGTCCAGGATAATATATCCATCATGAGTCCCCCAATCCCTAAGGTGAGAAGACTTCGAGGTGAAAGGGAGTAATCCAAATGCTCTTTGAACTACCGTCGTCGCTCGTGATGCCTCGCTCAGTTCGGAAAGGATCTCCGCCCTTGCCCGTGATGAGGTGATGCTTCGTTAAAAAACCTCCGCTAGAAAAAAACCCTGTGGGAAAAAAATCCTAGCCGAGGAAAAAGAGTGCACGCCCTCGAAGCGGATTTAGGGGGAAAATGCACATTCTACCGAGCTCAGAGGCGATCAGAGGAGGTTGACCTGGATCGGTTGTCGCATAAGCAACGGTCGCCATCCATGAGGAGGATGACAGAGACCGGTTTTCTCTGGTGCCAGGTGTGTCATGGTACGTCCAAGCTCGTCTAGTATGGGCTCGACATCGTCTTGTATGAGCTCAACCTCAGCAGGAATGAGCTCGATCTCGCCTGGTAATGAGCTTGGCCTCGCCTGATATGGGATCAGGTTCGTCTGGTATGAGCTCGGCCTCAGTAGGAATGAGCTCAGCCTCAGTTAGTATGAGCTCGACATCATCTTGTATCAGCTCGACATCATCTTGTATGAGCTCGACCTCATCCAAGCTCTTGGCTTCATCGTTCTCTGTCACTCCTCTCCTTTGCTTACTTGGAGATAAAATGTCCCCTAGTCTCCCACTCCTTAAAGCGAGTGAAGACGAGATGAAGAGGAGTACAATAGTCATCATATGTTGTGCTTCAGCTCTGGGCCTCGGGAAATTGCCTTAGCGCAATATAAAGTTCATGTCACTAATCATTAAATGAAGATGATAGAGAGATAAAATAAATCAAAATATATAAAATGAATTTATTGAATAAACATGACTGAAAGATGGGCCGAGTTAATCAGCCGATACAATCAGCGTTAAGTTATAGATCGAGTCATCAAATAAAGATGATTGAGAGATGGAGTTCATATGCCATCATAATGAAAAGACCGGGTCATTAAATAAATATGACCTAGAATTAATCGAATCAACCGGCAATAATAAATAGACCAAGTCATCAAATAAAGATGACCGGGAATAAATCGAGTCGGCACCTATGAGGTGAGTCGATTCATAATAAACCAGGCCATCAAATAAAAATGACCGATAAATGACCAAATCAATTGATCATAACAAATAAATCAGGCCATCAAATAAAGATGACCCGGAAATGACCGATATAATTGATCATGATAAGAAGACCAGATCATCAAATAAAGATGATCGAGAAATTACTGGGAAAATCGATCATAATAAGAAGCCCGTAACATCAAATGAAGATGACTCGAAAATGATTAAACTGATTGATCATAATAAATAAATCAAGCCATCAAATAAAGATGATCGAAAAATGATCGAGTCGGCACCTATGAGGTGAGTTGATCGTAATAAATAAACCAGGCCATCAAATAAAGATGATCGGGAAATGACCAAATTAATTGACCATGATAAGAAGAACGGGTCATCTAATAAAGATGACCAGGAAAGAGGCTAGCCGCTGGTAGCCGGCGGTGGCAGGCAGCTAGACGGTTGCACAAGTTGGCTGGACGGCGGCGGCAGGCGGCTGGTAGTCGTGCAGCGGGAAGGCTGCGACATGCAGTGGGAGGCTAGAGGCTAGGGTTGGAGAAAAGGCCGGAGTAGAGGTTAGTGTTTTATAGGCATAGCCTAAAGGGTATATTAGTCCATAAATAATATTTATTTATTTATTAATTACGAAAACTAATTAAATATTATTAATTTAAATAATATTTTGGGAATATAAACAACTTAGGTCATAGATTGGGAAAGTGGGAGAGTTTTAGTCACACCTAGGATAATTATCTCTAATTTAATATACAGATATACCCTGTAGATATTTATTCTTATCTTGTATACTAGTTAATAAACGCGCCATGCGCGTTCGATACCTTTTCAGGTTTCTCAACTTCTTCCGCATTATCATCTTCATGCATATTGAATAGATCATCAAATAAATTGACTTCATCAATTTCTTCATCATCTCTAATATCATCATTTAGAGTGTCTTCAATAGTGATTCCCCTACTTGTAAAACCTCCATTAGTCCCTCCACCATCTTCCTCCATATTGGGTTGGACACTTTGTTCAAAAAGTTTGTGAATGCCCAAGAAAACATATTATTTTACGATGTTAAGAGCAACTATAGACAATTTCTTCAGACCAAAACGGTACTCCATATACTTTACGGAGTATCTCTAATGCTACAATGTGCACGATGCATATGTGGCATGAGAGATGGCGACATAAATATTAATAAATAAATTATTTTTCTCCTTATTTGAATTATTTTATACAATTTCAATTAATTTTTCTCTACAATCTCAAATTTACATGTGAAAAACTAATACAAACCAGTGCTTTTCATTTTCATAACCTACCATAAGTCATTTGAGAAGCTATAAGCGTTGATAGCATGTTTTAGGCCGGCGAGTCCTTTCAACTAGGGGTGGGCGCGGTCCGGAACGGTCCGGTAAATTGTTAAAACCCGTAATGTATCCGTGAGGTTTTTAACGGTCAGGTACGGTCCGGTTCCAAGGATAGAACCGTTCGGTACCATGTCGTTTCGAAACGGTACAAAACGGTACGGTACAATGCCAAACACATGCTAAAAAAATTGAACAAATCTTGCAATTAGTAAATATCATCCCACCAACCAACTCACATGAAATGTTGAAATAAATACTAGAAATTGCATACATAGTACTAAAATTCACAAATACACAAATAGTGCAACACAATTAAGAAAAAGTATAGCAAAACGATGACCACGAGATAAATATCATTTTTAATTTACTAAGTTCATGTGAAAATATAAAAACGAATATCATCAAATTGTTGAATATAATAGAAATCTTCAACGTTCTTCTTCTCTGTTCTAGGTTAAATATTACTCCGTAGTTCAAATTTAATTTATACTGAACCTTGAGAGCTAAGATTTAAACCATATTAATTAAATTGTAAAAATTGCACAAACATGATACAACAAAAAGGCATGTACACTACATTACTAGAAATAAATAAACATTAATGATTTCTAAAATTTTAATAGTCTTTCAATACATACCAAAATATAACATAAATGATCTAAAAAGAAAAACTAATAATATATATAAACGACACATTTAGATATCTTAGGGAAACATGAATACATACTTGGGGTATAAAATTGTTGGTCTAGATCTATTGATATAGAAAAAATGTAAAAAATTCAAATGCATTATTTTTGAACGGTTCGGTCCGGTATTTTTTGGTTCTCAAAATCTATGACCGGTCCCATACCCATTTCAAACGGTGCAGTTTCGGTACGGGATAAAAATCTATAGAACCATTTAAATACCCGGTATTCGGTTCGGTACCATTACGGGACGGTTCGGTACCGGTTGGGTTCGGGTTTTATGCCCACCCCCTACTTTCAATATTTCTATCTTATATTATTTCAAAAGAAAGTAACCATCCTCTAGTAACTGATAAAAAAATTAAGTAAAGCATAATTCATGCCAAGTAAATTTTGAAATCACCAACTACTTTTCTATTCTTCGGAAACTTTTTTACTTTTTTTAGCATATTTTATGAAATGATACACTATCTTTAGAAATTAGTCTTATCTCCCACTCTCGTACGTTTTATCTATGTTTAAAAAACTGACCCGGATCGGTCGGCTCGACCCGAAACCCGACAATGTGGACCAAAATCCGATTCGGTTGGTTAAAACCCTAAAAGCGATAAAAATTTGAGAAAACCCGGATGACCTAGAAACACCTGATCCAGACCCGGATGGCAATCTATAAAGATAATATTTACTTCTAGAAGTACAAGATTGTGCTCAAATATAGTAAAATAAAAATTAGAAGAGACTATGATTTAAATAGTAAAAGATAACTAAAAATCTAAAATCTGTTCAACATGTTATTTATAGCAAGAAAACTCACGGTTGAGTTTTGAAACGGGAAAAGGGTCAAATAGGTTCTCAAACTTACATAAAAAGGTCAAACAAGGCCTTATATAGGAGGCTCTATCCGGCTGTCACCATTTCATGCAGTTTCCGGTGGATTTGTTTGATGAAATTTGGTATGAGTGAACTAGACTTAATTAATAGGATGTCCAAAAAAATTAATCAAAAAATTATACCGGGAGCCTCTCCAAATGACGATGACCGGACAAAGCCTTCTATATAAGGCCTTATTTCACCTTTTTATGTAAGTTTGAGGACCTATCTGACCCTTTTCCCGTTTTCAAACGGTGGTTCACTCCCAAACCCAATGGTAAGTAAATGAAAGGTTAAATAGCATTAATTGAATTGAATAAAAAAATGAAGCTATTGATGCTTAAATGGAAGTTAGCTAACGTTTGGAAGTATTATTCTAGAGTAGAAAGAAATTATGCATGAAGTACAAGAAATTACTACATAAAGAGACACTAACATTTTTTACATTCCCATTACACCCTTAACATTATTCATGCTTATAGAGATGTAGAGAAATATGTACTTAACATTATTCATGTGTGAGTGATACAGTTAATGTGTGTTCACACACACACACACAAATATGCATGTGTGTGTTTTGAGGATATTCTTATTTGTACGATTATTCCCACTTTGAAGCTTAAATAGGAAGAGAAAAGCCAAATTTAAGGAGGAAGAGTTAAGCCAGCACCTCTACAGCGTGTTCATTGCACAAGATGTTGCTTATATTTATAGAATATGTGCATCACAAGTTTATGGATTTATGGTGGTCATGTGGGACACCATAGCCTAGTCTAGCTAAGACATCAATCAAGGAGTATGGTGTAAGATCTGTAACAAAGAACGTTAGATTGAACACATCCTAAGAGAACAATTTCACTATTTTTTTTAAATATATATTTAAGCCAAGTGTTAGATCTTCCATTATGAAGAATTCAGGCACACTGAGCAAGTTTGGGAGGGAACGAAAATATTTTTCTTTTAGATTATAATAAAAACTTTGACATCTCGGCATGCTATGAAGCAACAAGAGGCATTTCATTGGAATATTTTAATCCCTCTATCATTACTCTACAGTCAACCAGTATCTAGTTTTTTTTAAGAAGAAGAAAGGATTTTATTCAAGAAAAGGGAAAATTACATTAGGTAATTAAAACAAAAGAAGAAAAAACTAAGAAATGTATCTAGTTATTTACTATGACGTATAATAGTTGCATTAGAATCTAGATAGCCTCCCCAACACATTCAACAAAAGTATCTCTTTCTAACACCTAAAGGTGAATGACCCACACCAACAAAAAAAGTGAAATGACCAAAAGTAATAAGTAAGAAATCTGACTAGAATCCACTCTCTCCTGTTGTAGTAGCATTTTCATTTGATAGCCCCTCTCCTTTGAAGCTTGTTCTTCGATAATGTGGATGTGGAAATAGGTAGCAAATATCATACTTGTGTGCTAAAAATACATCGCCACTGACATACACGAGATCCCTTCTCTAAGAGCATTAACAAGCCTACATTGTTTCTACTCAATCCAAACATGTATCTGTAGGCAAGCAGATAGTAAATAAATTATCTTGAATTCTATGAGCTCAAGTTATTAGTTTTAATGAAATGATTGCTTTTAGATTTGTTCTGAAAATGAACAAACACTGTTGTAAATCACTTATTATAAAACCTCATAAAATCTATAGTATATTGAATATGTGTGTGCTGGTATGTGTGTGTTGGTGTGTGTGTATTTGTGTGTCTGAGTTATATCAAGATATTGTCTTTTATCTCTCCAAAGTTGATACCCTCAATCCAAAAGGCTAACCCATAATGAATACGGGGCAAAATGCAATTTCTTCTCCTGCCGAGATGAGGAATAGAAATTCTCTGGGAAAGAATTTCCACTTCAACCAAACCAAAGCATTGCAAGTTCATGGAATTAGGTGGGGATCTAGCTTCCCGTGAACTATGCAATATATGATCACACTGATAGCATGTTGATGAAGTTCAACTTAAAGAAATAAAATTAGACATTAATAGATTGGGAAATCAAAATGGTAAGTGATCCACTCACTTGCACCGGTGTGCTTTCCTTCTCCATAGCACAAATGATACCATCCACTGGACATAGCAAATCAAAGAACCAAGCAACCAGCTCAGAAGATTATACCAGACAAATGATGCAAAGGATAATGATTGCAACAACTCTAGTACACTTCAGAATTTGAATTTATTGGTGTATGATTATAAACTGTATGAGGTTGAATATATTTTTAAAATTGATTCACTGCAAATTTTATATTTTTTCCCTTTTGATACGGTAATTATTTTCAAAGAGCTACACAACATTGGAACTTTTCACCCTTTATATTATTATATTAAAGTTAGGTTATGCGTAAAAGTCGAACGGAGTGTTTTATTTAAAAAATTTCATTACTTGAATACCTTGAATAATGACATAATTGAGAAGGAGTGAATGATGGAAGGTTTTCTCGCGGGTGTCCTCTCTAGCCGTGACATGTCTTTGCACAATTTTTGAGCAATCTCCTTCAGCAATACGATCTGTGATTTATCAGTACTCATTGAAATCAAAGCTTGCCTCGTTGACTCCCTATCAGCCTCAAGTGCATGCAACCTTGCAAACAACTTCTTGATATCGACATCTTCTCTATTGCTATAAATCATTGAATCCTTTGGGGTATTATTATAATCTTCAGAAGCCCCCTCAGATGCCTTATTATAAGTTGATTTCACTAGATGTATGGGATCAATTGTGTAAACTCTATCACCCATGCAATCCTCTACTTCAGATGCATTCTCTACTCTCATCAAGTTTGAAAACTCTTCTTTTTGTGGAAATTCCATCTTCCTCAATCTCCCCCCAAACTTTGGTGATTCTATAACAAGATCATAATTATTTGCTACCCTGAAAGACCCTAAACTATCAGTTGAAAACTTCTTCATATGCCTAGGCCTCCTTGGAGATTGACCAACTATCACCTTTTCAATAGTGTTGTTCTTACAGATCTGGTCACCATCAGGGTAAACTGTCATCGAACTCATTTCCAACAGGTTGATCTTACTCTCTAAATCCATGAAATTGTCACATGTTCGTGGAGTTTCCCTAAATGCATATTTTTCAACACCCCCAACCTCATTATCAACCTCAAAGTAAACTTCATTCTCATTCAAGCATTTTAATGGGGGGTAATCATAAATAGGGACCTCAAATTGTGGATTAGAAGTCTCGGAAGCGTTATTGTTTGAGTCAAAATGGCTCCTCTCTTTCTCAATCTCTTCCTCTATTTCCGACTCAGTGAACCCAAGATTCATCATTCTATGCTTATACATCTGAACCTCACATGTCAACGCATTTATTTCATGCTCCCTCTTGTATAATAGATCCTCTAGTAAAAATAACTCTTGCTGATCATGTAATATTTTTTCCTTTGTAAACTGTATAAATTCCATCTGAATCTCGGCCTTCTCTCTTTCCAACCTCAGGATCATAGCCATGGCCTCATTGGCACCTGAAGCTGACGCATACCTCTCTGCATCTAGCTCAGTGTTTAATTCCTCAATACTCTTATGCTGGTTGCTCACCATTTCACGAAGAGCGGCACACTCATTTCCAATGTCTATCCGGGCCGTCAATGGCGGCAATACGAATTCTGATCTTGAAACTACCGAATTCTTAGATTTATTGGATTTTTTAGTCGCATAGCATCGGTATGTTCCAGTATCAATTCCATCAGTGATAGAACAACTCCCCCCGCAATCATTGCACCGGGCATTGCTTGTAGACGGGCACATATCTTCATAATCCATACCGTGAAAAATTAATAACAACACAACAAAGTGACAATCTGGAATATGTAGAGGAAAAAGCAACCTAAATGAAACCTGTATTACATGAATTGTCCTTATTCACAATAAAATGGGACAAATTTTGTGCAAAAACATAAAACCTACCTTTTCACATTTGATCACACCCTAAACTAGAGAAAGTGTCATCCCCATTGGTACACGTTTGCATGCAATGCATTTGCATCAAATGGTTGCTTGATGGAAACAAGTTACCTGGTAACAGGAGGAGAACTAGAGGCGGTGAATTTATGGTTGGTTCTTCATGGAAAGAGAAGTTTGTTATTTCTTTTTTGCAAGCTTTGCAAAAGAATAAAAAAATAAAAAATTCTCCCCGGAGATTGGGAGAATTCAAAGCTCGCAGAGGAGCGGAAGGTAGGCTATCTAGATTTGAGAAGATACAATTCTTTGCATGCCGTATTTGTTTTATTCTTATGTTCCATTTCATGTTTCGGGAAGATGTGAGGAAGCAATTATGCAGTTTTCTATTTGTTGGAATTCTATTATTACAAATATAATTTAAAATTTTTAGTTTAACTCCTTCTCTTCCCACATATTTAGAAGTATATTTAGAATTAAAAACGGTTATCATTCTACAAATGTCAAACTAAATAAATTACAGTAATACATGGTTGCGTGGAGTCCACATAGTTTTTTAAAGATTAAATATATTTTAATCTATGTAAATATAGTGATTCTTAGTTTACATCCCTGCAATATTATGTTTTTGTTTTCCATTCCAGTAAATTATGTTTCTTTGCTTTGTAGCCTTTCACCAATCATAACAACCTCCATTTGACAACCAAACAACTTTGACTAATGGATTATGTATCACTCTTTATCATCATATATATCATTCAAAAAATGTGTAATTTTTGTTGGAAAAATAGGATTGTTTCACATGAATAAATATTTTTTATTTCTTTTATTCGTATTTCATCATTTAATTTAATCATTTTTGCTCATAAATATTTGTGTGTTACTTTCTAAAACATGTTGCATGTGATGTTAATTAAAAATAACATGCACCTATTTTCAAAACAGTTGATGAGAAGCTAGCCTATAGTTTGTTCTTAAAGTGTATTTATTATCCTCTTGGCTCCAACATATATTTCTTTGGCTGAATATATTATATATATTCATGTTACATTGAGGCACGTGGGGGGGGGGGGGGGGGGGGGAATTAACCTGGTAGCTTCATCCGTATTTGTTCTAAAGAAAATAATATACTATTCTTCATATTTAGTAAGTAGCAAAACATATTTTCAGACCTCTTACTCTGCTGGATTAATATTTGATCTACTCTCGTTGTTCTGTTTACCGGCTATTTACCGAAAAGCTCGTTATATCTTGGGGAAAAGTTTTTGCTAGTACTATATTGAGGACAACGTTATGCGTCTTGAGCTATTATTATTTTTACTTTATACAACGGTTTTTTGCAGATTTATCCGACCAATTCCACCAACAATCTCAAGAAAGTATTTGGCGTCGGATATGCTTGCACATATGATCTCACAATGCGTTGTTGTTGCACTCATCGCAACTATGTTATCTCTGCACGTGTGCTGCGAAGTAGGCATTGATACACCCACATTCGGAACCATTTTCAATCAGATAAAAGCTCACAAAAGTCTTCTACGTATAATGGTTTTTCTCTCCACCTTCCTACTTACGTCCAATAAGCCATATGTTGAGTATGTTGTTTTGTTGATGACTAACCTTGTAGGTGGAACGAAGGACAGAATTGTCCATAGGTCCAAATGGACATTATTGTTTTGTTGATGACTATCCCTGCAGGTATAACTGTAATACCCGAGATTAATATAAGAGGATTAATAGTACTACTCATACCAACAGAGGTGCATCTCCTTTTAAGGGAGCTCATCGCCCAAGAACTCCAAAGTTAAGCGTGCTTGCACGGGAGTAGTCTTGGGATGGGTGACCCCCTGGGAAGTTTCTCAGGGCGCGCATGAGTGAGGACAAAGTGCGCGGTAAAGGCTCGTGGTGGTTTGTGGGGACAGTACTAGAGGTCAGAAGTAACTACCTCGGGTCTGTGTGGGGCCCGGGGTGTTACAGGTGGTATCAGAGCAACCCTGCGACAGTGTACTGACCCGTTAGATATCGGGCGGGCATTTAGCGGGGCAAGATTCTGGGGTTTGATTGAGATTGTTAAGGGCGCAACGAGGACGTTGCGATCCTAAGTGGGGGTGATTGTAATACCCGAGATTAATATAAGAGGATTAATAGTACTACTCATACCAACAGAGGTGCATCTCCTTTTAAGGGAGCTCATCACCCAAGAACTCCAAAGTTAAGCGTGCTTGCACGGGAGTAGTCTTGGGATGGGTGACCCCCTGGGAAGTTTCTCAGGGCGCGCATGAGTGAGGACAAAGTGCGCGGTAAAGGCTCGTGGTGGTTTGTGGGGACAGTACTAGAGGTCAGAAGTAACTACCTCGGGTCTGTGTGGGGCCCGGGGTGTTACAATAACAAAGGACGGAACTGTCCATAGGTCCAAATGCACATTATGTGCCCATCACACCTATTTGATTAGTGACTAATATGCTTTCCATATACGGGTGCATGATTTAATTGATCACTAACTAATATACTTTCCATATGTGAGCATCTGTCTGAATATGTCATTTACGTAATCAAGATCATAATTTTAAAGAAGAATGTTTTCTTAAACCCTCCATGCATGATTATTTTATATGTATGAAAGCATGATCCATTTATTCTCTTCCCATGCATGATTGGATATTCACTTAATAATAACTTGTCATATATAGCTTAATACCTTATAGAAAGGATCGTTGCTTTCTTATATATGTTAAGTGAATGATTTACTCCCCTTCTCAGCGTTGGTATCTATTCTTGTGTAATCGTCCTTGTTTAAAATATGATTTCTCTCTCTAAATATGTGTGTGTGTGTCCGTTTCACTTTGAAAGAAGAATCTCCACAAAAGGAAGGACTTTCAAATCATAACAAGGCATGTCTCACACTTGATGACTGGGCCATCCAAGGAAGGAATGCCTCAACGGATCTACTTTGAGCAGCCTATATATATCGAGATAAAAAGGAAGAAGATGTGTGCTTGAGAAAGATAGAAAATAGAGAGACGTATTCACTGAAGAACTAGTGAAGTTTAAAGACACCTGAAACAGCTCATATTGAGTTCTAGATATAGTTTCGTTTTCTCTTCTTCTCTTTGTAATGGGGTTTTGAGGATTGACTAATTGTCAGCATCCTCGGGGTTGGTAAGTGTGTTATGAGAAGCTTTGTTGTAAAGTTGAGAGGCTCGCTACTCGCAAGGTAGAGAAGCATAACTCTTCCTAGAAACATTAGAGTTAGGGTGGCTCAAGGGTAGACTAGAAGAGTTTCTCTTGTAACCATTCAAAGGCTTTAGTGAAGTTGTTTCAAATTCCTCCGAGGGAGTCAAGGTTTTTTAATACCTTTTGAGCCAAGGGATTTTTCCTCGTTAAATCCTTTTCCACTTATTTAATGTGTCTCGTCCTCTTCCCCACACTAGAACTTGGCGAAAAATTGTCACGGTTCCACACACACAATTCACCCCCTCTTGTGTTTCTAATCGTTTCATTAATTGGTATCAGAGTCGGTCTTCACCACATAGAGGTTAAAACATTGGGAAGAGATTTGGCAAGATGAACACGGTTGAACGTCTTGAAGAAGGGTACTCGAATCAATGACCACCATTGTTCAATGACAAATACTATCAATTCTGGAAGAGTCGAAAGGTGAACTTTGTCAAGGCCAAAAACTATCAGGTATGGAATGTGATTGAAGAAGGCGATAATGTCATCACTAAGGACAATGATGAAGGTAATGTTGTTCCTAAACCTAAATCTTAGTATACTACTGATGATTATCAAAACTCAAGCATAATGCCCAAGCATTAAAATATTTGATTTGTGGACTTGGTCCTGCAGAACACAATCGGGTTCCAGGATGCAAATCTGCCAAACAAATGTGGGATTTTCTCGAGGTCACCCATGAAGGTACCTCACGTGTAAAAAGATCCAAAATTGACATATTTATGTGAAATTATGAATTATACGACTTATAAAGTATATGGGCCCAGACCCTATGGTGCACATACTCAGAAGACTAAATACAAAGACAGTTGGCACCCACATGGTCCTCCATCGGCCATATGGCCCTCCCTCGGCCGAATACCTACCAACCTAGAATATAGTCTAGAAGCCAAGGAACAGAACTCGGTCCTCCATCGGCCAGGCCCTCCATCGGTCTGGTCCTCCTTCGTCCAACGACACTCAATTAGCTGAACTAGATCTTATATTTAGTCAAATAAACCATGTACTCAGCCCATTAGAGGCCTTATTTTGTACAGGGCCTCCCAGGCCAGTGACTTGGGGCCCAAACCCATATTTTCCCTATAAATACTCTCCCTGGTGGTAGTTGTAGGGGGTTGAGAAATATTAATTACTCACTTTCTCTCTCTAGCTTTCACTTCTCTCTAAGATTAATACTCTATCCTTTAGTGCTCTCGTTGAGAGCTAGAACAATCAAGTTAGTATCCTTCGTCACTACTAGACACTATTAACTAAAATGGGAAAGACTAGGTCAAACCGCAACCTCATCAAAAAAAACTATCCCCGACTCTCAGGAGAACCAAGAGAGGTCGGGCGACGCTATGATCGACAAGATAGTGGAGGAAGAGGTCTTCCAGAAGACCATCGACCCCGCGGCTGACCTTCGCAACAAGTTCAACGTCAACGCTCAAGACCATGGCATCTCACACCGCCTCTCCTCCATGAGTTATGTTGACCCCTGCGCGTGGTAAGGCCTCGACCTTCAATAGGATAGGCGACACGCACCATCGGACCATGTTGGACAAAATGACAGGAAGGTTGGGTGCCCGTCAGCCTGGCTCACCCAGAGAAAGCTTGGGATCATTGTCCCGGACAACGGACTGACCCCGCATTGACAAAGGAAAGGGCAAGGTGCACGAGGAGGATGCATGCCACCAAATCAACCAAGACCATGCACGCCACCAATTGTTTCACATGAATAAATATTTTATTTCTTTTATTCATATTTCATCATTTAATTTAAACAATTTTTCTCATAAATATTTGTGTGTTACTTTCTAAAACATGTTGCATGTGCTGTTAATTAAAAATAACATGCACCTATTTTCAAAACAGTTGATGAGATGCTAGCCTATACTTTGTTATTAAAGTGTATTTATGACGAAATATGAGGTCGACCTCGAACACATCGAGGTCGACCCAGGATCTGACCTCGGACATACCTGCTTAGTCAATGGTAGCCAACGAGAGTCAAATAGGAATGAAGGAATGGCCATCACTGGATAAACCAAGACCAGGAAAGCCTCCCTGAGCAAGTACGCTATACCCGAGATTTGACCTCCTGGAGCTCGGGGTCTCATTTACTAAAACATGGACTTAGGCATTTCAGTAATCCAAGTACCACACAAAGCTACCGCCACGTCACCAACGCTATACGAAGTGCCATGTCACTCCAGCAGATAGGATGAAGAAATAATCCGGATAACACACGTGTAACCCACACGTATGTTCTGATGCGAATCTTTTACATGTCGTACCAATCAACCAGCTGTAGTGATTATCTCTCCAATCACCTTTACATGTGTCACCATACTATTAGACTAGTTTGTTTATTCTGTTAGACATGTGGGACACGTGTCTCCAACACAATAGAATAACATCTTTTTTACTTGTTGGCCAAGTATTTCTCCTTAATATAAATATCACCTTCCGGTCTGTGGAAAGGGATCGGAAATTCACTGTGCAAACTTGTTGTTACGCTGCTGAATTTGACACCCGATTTTACTTAGCAGTTTCCCCATTGTGGTGCTATAGTCCTCCCAGTGCCCAAAAGACCAGTTCGATGGAAAAATCCTTCCTCTGGGTTTTCAGACGAACGAGCGACAATTAAAAGCAAAAACGAAGACGTCCAAAGTCTAACCTGTTAAAAAGGAGAACGACGACGACGAAAAGCACCGAAAACCTCTGACCGGAGAAAACATCAAGGCTTTGTAGTTGCTTGAGAGTTCTGAGAATTCGAAAGAAAGAAAGCACAAAGGGAAGAGACGAAGATCACGCCTTTTATACTTCTCTCAGAAACAAGCGGGAAAATGGCATGTGTCCAATAGGGAATTAACCGCACGAAAAACTAAAGAGTTTCTCCAAAAAGGTGTGCAAAAGAGTAATGATGACATCGTAAAGCCGTTTCAAAGCCTTGTCTTATCTTAATGACAAAAAACAGCTGATATATTCAAATGATGCAAAAGGAATATTTAAAAATTCCAATTGTACACATCAGTGTTACTGCACGCCCTAGCATTTTTCAAATGCAAAAATTCCCAAGTCCACCAAGTTTTAAAGACAACTACCTCGTCCCCATCAAGCTTATACTCTTATACACATAGAACTTCTTTCTACGTATACAAGAGTGAGAGACTGGTAAGTGGGGGACTCGGGTGAGATACAAAACCTAAGGTTGTCAACACCACAACTCAGAATACGAGAACAACAACCTCAACATCACCCAACAGGTATAACTACATTCTGAGCTCATTGAATTTCACTTTAATTTTGTAAGATTTGTTGAAAACTTTTGTCAACCCTCGGTCAAGGCCGCAGATGTAGCAACTAACTTGTCAAAAAAGAACTTAGAACACGTAAAAAAATAGACGTCTGGACTCGAGCTCATCTCATTTTGCAGTGGGGCATCGCTTTCTTCTCCGAAAGTCACTTCAAAGTGGAGTGTAATATTTTTCCTCCGTTAGGAATTTTTCCCACAGGGTTTTTTCCTCACTGGAATTTTAATGAGGCGCCCCTTTGTTGTGACCATTGAGAAAAGTACCCTCGTCGGGCGTGCAAGCCCAAAAGATTGAAGACTTTTTTCTCTCACCTCAAGTGTCACTTTTGCTTCGGAGAGTGGGAGACTCATGATGGAGTCTATTCCCATATACCTCAGGGGTATCACGATTGGCGGGCCAAGACTTCCAACTAGGCATCAAAAGACTTAAGTATGAAGCCTCATCTGAGGCTGACCTCGACGCACGAGGTCAGAAACTAGACACGAGATGATGAATCAGCAAAGTATGTGACCCCATTCGAGACCGACCTTGACCCACCGAGGTCGGCACGAACATCGAGCTCGTAGATCACCCAGATACAATGAAATATGAGGCCGACCTGGAACACACCGAGGTCGACACCGGATCTGACATCGAACACACGCACTTAGCCAACGGTAGCGAACGAGTGTCAAACAGTAATGAAGGAATGGCCATCACTGGATAAACCAAGGACCGGGAAAGCCTCCCTGAGCAAGTACGCTATACCTGAGCTCCGACCTCCTAGAGCTCAGGGTCTCATTTACTAAACATGGACTTAGGCATTTTAGTAATCGAAGTACCACGCAAAGCTAACGCCATGTCACTAACGCAATACGAAGCGTCGTGTGACTCCAGTAGATAGGACAAAGAAATAATCCGGATAACACACGTGTAACCCACACATATGTTCTAGTGCGAATTTGTTACATGTCATACCAATCAACCAGCTGTAGTGATTCTCTCCAATCACCTTTACACGTGTCACCATACTATTAGACTAATATGTTTGCTTATTCTGTTAGACGGGCGGGACACGCGTCTCCATGCCACCACCATAGAATAACATCTTTTTTACTTGTTTGCCAAGTATTTTTCCTTAGTATAAATATTACCTTCTAATCTGTTGAAAAGTATCGGAAATTCTCTGTGCAAACTTGCTCTTACACTGCTGAATTAGACATCCGATTTTACTTAGCATTTTCCTCTCTCTCTCTCTCTCTCTCTCTCTCTCTCCCTCCCTCCCTCTCCCTCTCTCTCTCTCTCTCTCTCTCTCTCTCTCTCTCTCTCTCTCTCTCTCTTATTTCTCGGATTCCAGCTACTCCTAGGGTCGGCGATCCATCAACTGCTTGTCATCGCATTGGTCCGTCTTTTGGTTTTTTTGGAAGTAAGGTGAAACCGCCATCCTCTATAGGAGTGGTTGGAGAAGCTTTAGTGTCTAAGTTACATGAAATATTTAGTTTTGCCATTGACTTCTTTTTGAGCTTTTGAGCAAACTCTTTTTGGATGTCTAGGAACCCCGCTTTAAGATCTGCGAGGAGTGCTTGAACTCTTCTTTTGAGTATGCAACACGAGGTTCATAGAAAATGTCACAAGCACTTGCAAATTCCTTTTGGTGCGCTACTACTTTTTCCCTGTTGCTCAATGCTATGAGAGACCTTGGGTTGAGTAAAATGATCAATGTCATTTTGACACAAAAGGTCAGATATATATATATCCTGATCACATTAATTGCACGTACATATAAAGTAATTAATTACATTATTGTTTACATAGAATAGAATACTTAAATACAAAATGATTAGGTATGTATCTTGCAATTAAAGAAACAACAAAAAGTGTGAGCTGCCTGCGAGTAGGCACGTATGGTACGTGCGTGTTATTATATTAGGAGTTTATTTGATGCATGCATGCATGCATGCATGCTTAGGTTGGGATGATCGAGATCAGAGGCGGGAGATGAAATGAAGGAGTTTGTGGAGGACGTGGTTGGAGAGGTGATGTGAGAAAGGGTCATTGGTGAAGAAGCCGTGATGCATCCCCGGGAACACCACCCACTCCACTCTCTTCTTCATCCCCTTCAACTCCGCAGCGTACTTCTCCGCCCTGTCCTTCAGCACCTCACTACCCCCCACCATCACCAGGATTGGCTCGAGCTTCACACCCTCCAGTCCCGGGCTTTCTGGCCCGAAAGGGTTTGCCCATGGATGGTCGGCATTTTTCCCCACCGGCAGTGACAGCCTCCAAAATCTGCATCTCTTATATATATATATATCACTGCTTAAAACTTGTTTCTTTTTTAAATTATACGTATATTCAAAACGTTTAATACTGAAATTAAAAATCATACTCCACTCAATAAAAACAAACTTATATATTGCATGTAATAGCTAGTTTGCGATCACGTTAGGTGGAAAATAGTGAAAATCACTTCCAACTTTCGAATAACATTTTCCGCTTGTAATACCTTGTGCGTGCTTAAATTTAATGGAACTCTTTTAACTTTTAATGAAAAGCATTAATTAAACACATTTTATAATCATTTTAAGTTTCCATCATTTGCAATGGAGCCAAAGATTCATTATTTTTTGGCTTGAGATTATGATGGAATAAAGCAAAATGACTCACTAAACTGTTTGCGCTTCTTTGTCATGAAGCTGCAGTCAGTCCATGCAATTTTGGACGGGATTTTCACTATGGGTCATCCGGAAACAGTCTCTCTGTGCTTTAGTACAGGGGTAAGACTGCGTACATCCGACCCCCCCTTACCCCACCGTAGGTGAGAGCCTTTGCGGCACTGGGGTAAATGAAAATGAAAATGAAATTTTATAATCATTTTAACCATATATCAAATTTTTACAGTTATAAAATACACATAATTAAACCAAACATTTATTAGATCACTCACACCAGAGCACCAAATAAATTTCCATGTAAAAGAAAACATCCTTTAAAATCTGTCAAATTGAGTGCCATGATGAGTAGAAAAAGAATGGCGTACTTATTGGGTTATCTCAAACAAATTAAATTTTGGGTGCTCCCATAAAGTCAAGTCAAGGACCATTTCTTCGTATTGCTTTCCAAGCTGAAAGACTTCAAATTTCAAAGTCACAGACAACGACACGAACAATTGACTCGTTGACTCGTTGTAAACGGCCTCCGTACGGTTATACACGGCCTTTCGTCTGTATTTACTTGCTTTAATTATTATATGCTTAATAGAGTACAGATATATTTATTAATAATATAATAATAGCTTTTTCATTGCCGGAAATTGTTGCATTTCTTTTGCATTCCTCTTATTTGATCAATTTCTTTTAAGGGGGGTCCACAAGGACATATTTGATACAAATTTGTTTATTCTATGCACATATTCAAACTGGATCGATCGGAGTCCGGGGACTGGGTTAGAGACCAAGACGGTACAAAGAATATTTTTGAAAAAAGTTTTGCACAAAATTTTTAACACTAAATATATAGACATTTTTAAAATTTGGTGTTGACCGGGACCTTGCCTCCCATGCTATGCCTCTAGATTCAAATGACATGTTTTCAGTGTTAATAGCAAACTTCAAGGGTAAGAGGAGCCTTTTTCAACGGACATGTGAACAAAAAGAAAGACAAATTATATGATATCCTCAAGAATTATAATATGCCAATTGAATTACTTAAATATAATGAAATTAAATAAGGACTTAGACTACTCAAATGCGCGATAGGTATAGTATCCTCTCTTTTGGAATAGTATGGTAGAATTCACCTAATATAAATAGAAAAGTATGAAATGACACCAAATCAATTAACGTGCATTTATCTTTTAAATATTTTTAAATACGAATTATATATATGAATAATGGACGTTGAATAAATAGAAGTGCTGAAGTATGTTCATAAAATATGTATTTTTTTATACACACGAAGATATCACTGCGTTTATAGTAAACGTTAAAAACACATTACTATTTAATAATGTACGTCGCTAGTGAAATATAGTCGATTTAAATAAAAAATGTGATATTGAATCGGTAATAAAAAATGTGCTTCTTTAACCATCGAAGTCTAATATAATGTATTTAAGTCTTGTCTGATTTGTTTAAATCTGATCTGATCTATTCTGTCCTGGGAATGAAAACAACTTAAATAAAAATGTCCTAAGAACATGCACCGTAGTCCACAAATGAATGTATAAAAATATGAAAAGAATTGTTTGTACACATTTTTCATACACGTACACATAGCCCGTGAACATGCTACTATTTTTTTTGCTGTTCACCGACTATTTACAAATAAAAGGTACTACCTCCGTCTCGCTATGATTGTCTCGTTTTACCTTATCGATCTGTCTCACTAAGATTATCTCATACCAAATTTGGAAAAGTTTGTGTGGTTCTAAATCATTGTTACTTTATTCTTACTTTATCAATTCAATATCACTCACATAAACCACTTTTTATTGATCGTGTCACTCTCTCTTGTCTCATTGTTAGCGGGACGGAGGGAGTAAGTGGTTCGCAAAAATGTACAAAAAATATGTGTACGACAAAGTATAGCTGAAAAGTGAAAGCAAAGTGAGCTTGCCAGCATGTCCACACAAATGATTACGAAGAATTTCGGCGAAGCATAAAATTGACACGACACCCTTAAAGTTTACAGTGGGCAGAAGGAATGGTAGGACATCTAAATCAAAGGATGTGGTTGTCTCGCAAATGCAGAGAGTTAAGAGTCCACAACTTCTAAACGTTTTAAGAATATTGTCTACCCACTTTACAATGACAATTGACATGAGTGGACCTGACCGCCTCTATTGTTTTGAGCGCTTTTTTGAGGGGATACGTAGCTCAAGTGGTAGTGAGGGTTCGAGTCCCAACAAATGCATAGGGTCTTTGCAAGTATCGGGGACAGAGTCTCACTCTCTATCTGTTAGATTATGATTATATTCCAATTTACATCCTCTCAACCTACCGTCCGGTCAGTGTTAGGGGCCCTCAGGGATGGGATGTCATTCTTTTTTTTCTTTTTTGAGCCGATTCAACGTGTTACCATCTCTGTTTAACTAACATTAGGGAGTCACATTTATTTAAATAATGTGTTTATATGATTGATATTAAATTATTAAAGTAAAAACAAAGTAAAAATGATTTAGAAACACACATAACTTATCAAATTGGGTATGAGACAATATTAGTATGACCGAGTGAGGTCCCAATTTCACATGTACATTACTCCTTAGGGCACTTGGTCAATGTGTTTGTCTTCTCCTATGCAAAAAAGAATAGATAATTAAGGTGCAACTAATGTGGCAAATAAAAAAGTGGAATGAGGTCTAACACAAGGTCCGTCTATAACTTGTGGTTGCACTCTGAGAAATTAAATATAGAACGTAATGGGGCTACGTGCATCAAGGACGGCTCATTTATTTATTTATTTATTTATTTATTAATTTCTCCATTTTCCATTTTTTACTTTTGCCTTTGGATTTGTCGCACAGGAGGGTCTCCAATGGACCTTTTATATATATATATATTTGTAATATTGGTCCATTTTAAAATAGATGATATCACAAGTTTTGTCACCTGACCTGAACATTGGAGATGCATGCTATGATAATGTTAGAGCGTACGTAAGGATTGAAATATGGTAAAAGAGAATGTTGGCGTGCAATTGTGGGGCGGGTGTCCAAATTCACACGAATGAATATTTCTCCTTGTAAAGTAAAATGTTGCCATTAATTTGCTGCATCTAATTCCACACAAAAAGGTATGCATGCATGAGAGAATTCCAAAGTGGCATGGGTTGATTGGTTGTTGGATATATAGAATTGTGAAGCCCATCTTTTCACCACGTTGATGTCTTATTTGCTACACCGTACCTTTCGTCCTCTTTATATAATAATAACGTAGATTCTATGGTACCCATAAGGTACCATACATTTGACCAATGAAAGTGTTACACTTGAATTATTTAATTCTAAATTAAAAATGATATACCTATTTGGAGTTTGGACCAATCAAATGAATAGTAGTACGGTGCCCCATTTTTTTAAATGAGTATCGAAGTTGTCACCTAATAATAATAATAATAATAATAATAATAATAATAATAATGGAATGTCGTACGTGGCTGCAAATACACACGCTAGGATCGATCCAGATCGAATATATATACGAGTATATAAATAAATGTACGTGCATGGATTCTCACCTTTTTAAGTCCAAATTATTGCCTATCACAACATCAATCCAAGAATCACATTTTTTCCATTATCTTTAATTTAGATGTTTCATATTTGATTTTTTATTTTCAACCAAGCATCATCGTTCTTCTTTCACAAAATAGAATTTCTATTTTAATTTCTTTGACGGTAAATCTTATAAATATATACTTCTTCCGTCTCCAAACAAAGTTTCCAATTTGACCTACACACATATTTATGTAAGATCTTTTTGGCTTTTCAAATATACATTTACTTTATATCGGATCAAGCAAAAAGTGCGCAAAAAAGTAAAGGTATTTGTGTTTTTTGGGTTAAAAGTGGTTTTCTTTTATAGAAATGAGAATTTCTTTTTGAAACATTCAAAAAAAGGAAAAAGCAAACTTCTTTTGGGATGGAGGTAGTATACATTAGGTCGATGTTTTGAAGTGTTTACAGACCTTGAGCAGCGAAAAAATTAATAGTAGTGGACTGACCAATAAACTTTTCATTCTGCCAACAAGCTAAGTGTCGTTATTAATTTTATATGGTACTCAATCACTCATATAGTTTGATCGAGATTCTCTACATATAATAGGAAAAACATCTCTTTTTATACTGTTCGTACATACCTTGAGTATGTAATGAAAGTCAAGTATCACTATTTTTTTAATTAAATATGTTCAGATACTTTAATTTTTTTTGTCTACAAAGAAATATGTATACATATATTTGAATGAAGAAACTTTAAAAATGAATTCATTAAGTTCTGAATCAATGTTTCATTTCTCTTTATCCTTTCTTTCTGAATTTCAGTTGCTATCAGCATGGCCTCCTGTTTCGTTTTCATATCATTAAACGTGTCCAAACAAAGGTATAAAATCTTAGCGTCGGTGAATATGTAAAATAAATGGATGAAATAACATAAAAATTAGGGAAAAGATAAAAAATAAAAATATTTAATATGTGATTCGGTACATTGAATAGTATAAATAATAAAAACATGCAAAAAAGTACTAGAAGAATAGTATCCTTTAATGAATACATTTTTTAACCTTCGGTTAGTAGCCTAGTACGTAGGGAAATGTTTAGACATATAGTCGTCGGCCTTTGTTCAAATTAAACTTTAATCAAGTGTAATTCACTGATTGTAACAGAGATAATTTTTCTCGATCAAGTAAATATATGTCCTACCTAGAAGGCTCATATATTTATTTTTCTCAGATATATAGGTAGTATACTTTTGTCCACTTTATCTTGATAATGACCCTTGCTAATTAATGACTTTACAGGCTATACATTTTCACCATGTAAGACGCTACCATTCGTCCAATGTCATACTAGCCCTAGCTCAACTACAGGGGGAGACAAGGAGGGGCTGGAGGGGTCTTGCCCGTGCAACAATTTTTTTTAAGTATATCTCATGTGTAAATACTTTCAATCTAGATAAAATGTGTTGATATTTGAAAGAATGACTAAAATATTACTTATGGACTTTGAATGGACAAAAATATGACCATTTTTCACATGGATAAAAATGTTACTTCTTTTTTTAAAACCCAGGCTCAATCCATCGCACAAGCTTCTTTGCGCCTAACTTTCATCGCACAAGCTTCTCTGTGCCGATCTTCTCTGCGCTTTACTTCATTGCCCAAGCACGCTTCATCGTCCTAACAGCGTCAAACTCAGGCGACCTCCTTTGAGCAGCAGATCATCACCGCCGTCCTCGCACACATCTTCGCCATCGTCGCCCTCCCCGTATAGAGGACAGAATCGTCTCCGCCGTCCTCACCCTGGTTTTTGCCGCCGTCCTCACCGTCCTTGCCCTCGCCTTCCGATCTTCTTCTCTTTCTTCTCTTTCTGTTGGTGGTGTTAAACTTCGCCACATCTAGCGCCGATCTAACGACGGTGATTGTGAAGGAGATAGATCTCTTTGTGGAAGCGGCGGCACAGTTCGGCGATGCGGCGGCAGCGGCTAGTGTTTGAAGATTAAGCACTGAGGGGGAAATGGTGCCAGGGCGGGGCTAGATCAGAATTGGGAAGGGGTGAATTGGGGGTTGGTTGGCTGATCGGAGCTGGAGCAGGGTAGGGTTGCTGAGGCGGCTCAGGTTGTGGGTCAGGTGGCGGTCAGGATCTGGGTAGGGGCATGGTGATGGGGAGGCGTAGGGGCAGTAGGTGGTTTGGGCACTGGATGAAGCGGTGAGCGGCTATGATTGGCGGGTCGGCGGCGTCGGGTGTCACTGAACGCTGGCGGCGTCACTGTGGCGGCGTCACTGTGGCGGGATCACTATGGCGGCGTCACTATGACGGCGTCACTGTGACGGTGGCGGCGTAATTGGCGTGAAATTTTGACGGTGACCACTTTCGATGACACGAAACAATAAACACAGTGACATGATTTTTTTCGAGTGACATCATGTTTTATAGTTCCAAATATATGACCTCTTTAATCACTTTTTTGACTATATTTAAAAGTACTCACATTTTTGGAAATTCAATTCAATTTAGTAATATTTAGGGATTAACCCCTTGATATTTTAACATTTGGTCCCGATTAACCATCGATTTCTGGCTCCACCGGCTCATCAAGTTGCTTCCAATCCGATCCTCAACCGGTGGAATCCTCGACCACGGGCAGTCGGGCACCGCCAGACTCTACAAATGATGGAGGAATTCTATGATAAATATTTTATAAATTTATAAATTAATTATTCCCTCCATCTATGTTGTGTGTACTACCTCCGTCCCAATTTACTTAGCCAAACTTGATTTTTCAAGTCAACGGCGTCTAACTTTGACCAATTATATGTTTATATAGAGAAAGTATTGATAATATGAAAATGTTCTTTGTTAAAAACACTATCATCAAAGTATAAAATTATTAAATTTTGCATAAATATACGGAGTATTAGCTTAAATAATTGGTCAAAGTTAGAGGTCATTGACTTGAAAAGTCAAGTTTGGCTAAGTAAATTGGGAAGGAGGTAGTATTACTTTTCGGGTTCTGCCAAAATGCATGGACGGCCTGGCCTGTACAAACGGGCACTTCGAATGTGGAATGAATATTTATTAATTACTCCCTCTGTCCCCTTAATATTAGTATCAAAGGGAGTGATGTGATTTTTAAGAAAAGTAGAATTATGTGGTTGGTAATGAGTTGATAAAGTGAAAATAAAGTAAGAATGAATTAGAACCATACAAATGTTACCAAATATGGTATGGGACAATAATAAAGGGACATCCAAAAATGAAAAAATGAGACAATTATAGGGGGACGGATGGAGTAAGTTATTACTACTTCGTACGTTTATTACTTACCTCCGTCCCAAAAAATTTAGCCATTTTCAAAACTTTGACCTACTATATCTTTTTATTGGAAAATATTTATAATATACTATCGTAAAAATTACGTAGTATATGAAAATGTTCTTTGATAAAAGTATTTTCATAAAAGTATAAAATTTATAATTTCCATAATATTATACTAATCAAAATCAATGTTCAATTTTTTTGAAATGACAAAGTTTTTTGGAACAGAGGTACTCCCTCCGTCCCATTTAAAGATACTCGTCCACTATTCTCCGGTCAACGTGCATTGTTGTTAATCTTTTACTTTATATATCCAATTTTTATCAAATTTAAATTTTCTTGATCAGGCTTTGTAGCGATTTTAATGTAGTTTTTGAATATGTAAATTTTATTTACTAAAAAGAATTCTACTAATGACAGAGATCAGTTAACTTTATGGTCAGTCAAACGTCGTAAACCGTGTGGGAACATTTAAATGGGACGTGGGGAGTAGTATTTATTAAATGCACACACTTTTAATTTCTTAGTACAAGGAGCTCATGAGAAAAGCAGAATTGTTTACGTCTTCGGGTATGTTTGGCACAACTAGCTGAAAAGATACTTTTGTAAGCTTTTTAATAACTGTTAACTTTTAGTGACTGAAAAGATCTTAAAGAGAAAAGGTGGTAGCTATTTGGTAAAAAGTTGACTGTTTGATTTAGTTTGATTTGGTATACAAGCTGTTAGGACTGATTAATACTAAAAGTCACGAGCTCTTTTCAGATGATACTCCCTGTAGCATCTCAAAAAAGATCTTTTAATTTTTGAAAAATTCTTAAAAATTGTCATGCCAAACATATAACTAGAAGCTTTTAGAAACTTTTTGAACAACCAAACATATAACTAGAAGCTTTTAGAAACTTGGTCCAAAAGGTTGAATGCCCAACCCCAAGCCCCCCCCCACCCCCACCCCGACCCGACATGATGGTGGAGAGGTTAATCACGATGACTCAGTCAGCAAAGCGGCGGTAGGCCTTATACATGTGCGCACCAGAGGTCCAGCCTTATTTCAGGTTCTGTAACCTCCACACGACCGCTGCGGGTTTCGAACCTTTGTCACTTGGTCCAATTTTCTCACCACTCGACCAACTGAGCTACCTTTGGATCAAGAAGCTTTTAGAAACTTTTTAAATAATACAAAAGCTAGACGAATGATATGATTACGTACTACTCTGTAATATAATAATATATACTCGTATAAAATCCAAGAATTAATTATAAGGTAGATTCTATGGTACCCATAAGATACCATACATTTGTTCACATGAACCGATGAAAATGTAGCAATTGAATTATTTAAATCCTAATTAAAAATGATAAAGATTTGTTGTGCACCCAATCTTGGAAAAAAAACGTGTAACTAGAACGGAGTAATACAGTGAAAAAGCTTGTAACCTGTCGAGAATTTCGAGATTCAAGGTTGGTTCCGGCGGGCCTTCGGCCTCAGACTTGGTCCTCACGGTCCCGCCAAAAAACGGTGCCATCATCACATAGCCGCGTACTCGGACGGGAAGCAACTCCGGCGAGCCCGCGGCTCCAAGCCTAACAGCCAAATGGTGAGCAATGTTGCCGCCGGAGGAGTCTCCCATGACAAACACCCGATCGAAGTCAATCACGTGTTCCAGCCAAGCGTCACGGTTTCTGGTAAGCGCCTGGCCGGAGAGCCACTTCACGGAGGCGTAGGCATCGTCCATGGCCGCGGGAAGCCGATGCTCCGGAGCAAGCCTGTAGTCCGGCGCTACAACGAGGGCCTTGAGGCCGGAGCAGAGGCGGACGCAGGTGGCGTGGTTGTTGGGCCACGTGCGAGAGCCGAAGCAGAAGCCACCGCCGTGGAAGAAGAACACGACAGGGAGCTTGCTGGCGGTGGCAGCGCGGGGCTTGTATAGACGGAGGTGGAGGGCGTGAGCTTCGTCGAAAAGGGAATCCTTCCAGACGACGGAAGTGTCGTTGCAAACCGGAAATGGGATGTGCCGGTCGACCTCATTGGACCGGACGATTGAACCGTCACTGTAGAGTTTTAGAAAACCCTGGCAATCTTCTACCAAGCGAGGATGTGTAGCCATTTGGTGGAATGTCCTCTGCTTTTCTCTCTCTCTCTCTCTTTACGTATAGTACTGTATCTATGGATTGTTGTTTATGAGGAAGAAGAAATGATGTATGGGTGTATATATATACACGTGAACACCCACATATACCTGCCCGGTTCAAATATATAAAAACGGTATTACATTCCCTTCAAAATGCGTGCAAGTTCATAATTACTCAAGTAGCATGTGCTGTTTCCCCCAAACAGTACGCTTTTTATTTGGATTGACAATTGAGATACGAGTAAAAGTTTGGTTTCTATACTAAATTCATATGCCATCTATAAAAAAAGATCTTTTTTTAACAAAATATATATATGGACATATTTTGAGCCACTGCATCTCAACTTCCGTACATCAAATTTACTTTTTATAAAAAAATATTCATTTCAAGCAATATAGCACGCACACATTTCTTTAAAATTTCGGTAGGCAAAATGTGAGGGAATATTTGTCACATTTTATAAATAAATTGAAAGAAATACAAAAGAGAAGGGGCAAATCAAAATCTCTCTAATTCGAAATACAAAGATACTCAAAAAGCAAAATTTGGGGGCTAAGCCTGATCTAATAGCAACAAATTAACTGTAATATCTAACAAACAGAAGATGTCACGCCCCGGACCTAGCCGGACACGTCAACAACCCGCCGTACAGTACGAATAATCAACCGCAGTCCAACTCATCAATACTATACAAGGCGTCATGAATATCATTCACACATAGTACATCCATAAACAAACATAATATAAAACATGCATTTAAAACAGTGGAAGCATTAATACAATTGTTCAACCCACACTTGACATAACTAGGCATACAAGCCCCCAAAGTAGTTATTCAGAAAATAGCATCCATGAGCATTAACGTAATTGTTTTTAAAACAGAACGGAAGAAGCACGAACCACATCTTCTTCCCTTGATCCTCCCGAAGCAACGAGCAGTGGTAGCAACCTTCAAGATCTACGTGAAACTGTGAGGTGGCCTCCCCCGTGAAGGGGAGGTCACTACTATTTGACAAGTACAATAGCAACTATACTAAGTATAATCAACGTTTTAATTTCCAAGACCCTCAAAATAGGGGATATCATAATATAAATAATAATTTATATTTCCCACTTATTATCTTTATAATAAGTAAATTCATTTATTTGTCGGCACACGGCCCTTCTTATATATTCCTTTTCATTTATCATTTGCACAATTCAACTCTTGGGTCTTATTATTTCTACGGGACTTGCTACCGCTGTCCGAGACCTCATGAGGCTCCCGGTTCGGACTCCAACATCCCGCCCCTGGACTCATACCCATCATCCCGTAGGAAGGTAAGGCCCTTCGGGGTCCTATCTTATGTGTTACCGCTACCGGAACCTAGTTAGGTCTCCGATTCGGATTCCACCCTAACCCGTGATCACGATGTAAGTCCATGCTATCCAACCCCGCTCTCTAGAGTCGGAAAGGGCCATGGTCCTTACTTATTTCCATAATTCGACCGGCTATCCACGAGGACTACCGAACACACCCATAGGCCAATCCTATACTTAGGATCAATTTATTACTTACTTTAACTTGGGTATCCCTTAAGGCCTACCCCTAGTATAACCTAGAGTTCATACTTTCCTACCTTAAAGCATCCTTCAAGACTACTTAAGGCATAACATTTCACAATCCAATCTTAGGATCAATCTTAACAACATTTCATTTTAATGTCCAACTAGTATCTTAATACTAGTCAAATTCATACTAATAAACCAAGTTCTCAACTCATAGTCATATAGACAATTCCAACTGATTTTCCTTTGAAAATGTCATTTATCTCAATATTCAAAATATCACTTTTAATCACTCATATATTCTAATATGAAGAGAAAGCATATTTCAACATATGTTTCATAATTAATTCCACTTTCAAGTCAACCTATTCATAACACATGATCATACACAATTTACTCTTAAATTTTGTATATCATGCTCCTTTTTGTTTAGACATTAGTCTTTTCAGTCTTAGGCATTATTAATCCTTAATAATCCATAAAAACACATTTAATTACCTTCGGTAATCTCATGAAATTAACTCACTAATTATAAGCAATATAGTCAGTCATCCTCACCTTATGATGTGCTGAAATAGTTGCCTTTGTTGAGCTCCCCGATTAATCCTCGTTTTAAATCGATAAGAAGGCAAAACTGGACTGCCTTGGCAAAAGCCGAGCGGCTTTCACGAAAGCCGGGCGGCTTTCGTAGTCTGCAACTACGAACAGCTCCTTTGGAGTGGCGGTTTCCGGCGGTTTCGACTCCTATCGATTTGCCAACCCTTCTAAGTTAATTACCACCGCTTTATAACAATATTCCACACTTTTAAACGTGTAGAACATCATGTTTAATCCACCATATGATTTCTTACAAATCATACATGATAAAACTAGTTAAAGAACAATAGTTATGTTCTTACCTTAAATCCTAGCTCCTTTCTTCTTGAATTTTCTTCCTTCTTGATTCCTCCACGTTTAAGCTTGGTGAAGAACCTTTTTTCCAGAGCTTCTCTCCCTTGAACTTGGCTTGTGCGGATGAGGCAATTGATTGAGGAGGCAACTCTTGCAATCAAGCCACAAATACACCAAGGATGGGACATGGGGTCATTTGTGTGTAGACTTTGTCTCTAGGGAGCTTCCTTCCAGCTCTCCTCTTGCTAATCAGATCACAAAAACGTGGGGTGGCCCCCACTCATGTGGGAGGTCATCCCAATATGTCCCAGTGTGTCTATTCGGCCCCGAAAGTTGTATTTTTCGGACTGTTTTAATTATATTTTATTTTATCGGGCCAAATAAAATACGTCCCGCGTTCTTAATAATTATGGGACTTTAGAATCGATGTACATTCCCCAACATTAATTTAGGAGTCTCCGAAATTCATTTCGGGCTATTATCCGCTAAATTACCAATACCGGTAATTGGGCTTCGTTTGACCACCGGTCAACTCCGTGCCTTTCCCATGGCCCAAGTAAAATATCCACAACCATATAGATGTCATCTAGACCAAGATGAATATAATATGTGGTTCGGGAATCATCGGGCGGCCCCCGGTCCCGGCGTGGGCCCCACATGCAATTTACTATTCATGTAAAGAAATAATAAAAATTTACAATTACGCAAATTCACAAATCATCTTTCAAGGTTTATTACATAATTTTCTAAAAGTAAGTATGCTTGGGGACGGTGCTACAAGTTCACCCCCCCTTAACGGGAATTTCGTCCCCGAAATTCACAACGCTTATTCAAACAAGGACGCATATTGCTCTTTCATCAAAGCTTCCGTTTCCCAAGTTTTCTCCTCAACTCGGTCACTTTTCCAAAGGATTTTAACCATTGGAACCCTCTTGCTTCTCAACTTCTTGACTTGCCTATCAAGTATTTTCACCGGTTGCACGGCATAATTCAAGTCTTCCCGTATTTCCACGGGTGGTTTCTCCAATACATGAGACGGATCCGGTATATACTTCTTAAGCATAGACACGTGGAATACGTTGTGTATCTTCTCCAATTCTGGAGTCAACTGTAATCGGTATGCTACGGCCCCAATTCTTTCAAGAATCACAAATGGCCCTATGTAGCGTGGGTTAAGTTTCCCTCGACTCTGAAATCGGATGATTCCTTTCCAAGGTGAAACTTTCAAAAATACCTCATCTCCAACCTTAAACTCTAAGGCTCTTCGGCGCTTATCGGCATAGCTCTTCTTTCTATCCTGTGCCGCCTTAAGTCTCTCACGAATCATCTTCACCTTTGACTTGGTGATCTCCACTAGTTCCGTGCCCTCGAGTTTGGCCATGCCAACCTCATCCCAACACAAAGGTGTACGACATCTCCTCCCATACAATGCCTCGTATGGAGGCATGCCTATACTCGCCTGATAACTGTTGTTATAAGCAAACTCCACAAGTGCCAAATGGTTGTCCCAACTCCCTTGGAACTCCAATGCACAAGCTCTCAGCATATCCTCTAATATCTGAATAACCCGCTCAGATTGCCCATCCGTTTGTGGATGAAAAGCTGTACTGAATTTCAACTTTGTCCCCATAGATTCTTGGAACTTCGGCCAAAATCGTGATGTGAATCGCGGATCTCTATCGGATACAATGGTTGTCGGAACCCCATGTAGCCTCACGATCTCGTCCACATACAACTTGGCTAACCTCTCCAGTGCATAAGTGGTGTTGATAGGTAGAAAGTGTGCACTTTTCGTGAGCCTATCGACCACAACCCATACGGCGTCATAGTTCTTAATCGTCCGTGGCAGCCCTACCACGAAATCCATAGTCACGTGTTCCCACTTCCATTTAGGAATGGAAAGTGGCTGTAATAACCCAGCTGGATGCTGATGTTCTGCCTTAACTTGCTGACAAGTAAGACACCTACTGATGTACTCGGCTATTTCTCTCTTCATACCCGACCACCAGTAACTTTCTTTCAAATCACGGTACATTTTCGTGCCTCCCGGATGCATGGCATACGCCGATGAATGAGCCTCCTCTAAGATGGACTTTCGGAGCCCATCATCCGACGGTACGCACACTCGGTCACGAAATAATAAGAGACCATCGTCTCTCTCCCTGAAATCCTCAACCGGTCCCGCTAGCATGCGTTCACGGATCTTCATAAGTTCTTCATCGGTTTCTTGACCCTTCTTGATTTCATCAAGTAATGTAGGTCTCATCTCGAATCTAGCTAACAAAGCACCGTCACTAGATACCTCCAATCGGGCTCTCAATGCCCTCAAACTAGTCAACAATGCCCTAGACGAATTCTTTCGGCTCAGGGCATCCGCTACCACGTTGGCTTTACCGGGGTGGTACTCGATAACTAGATGGTAGTCTTTTATCAACTCCATCCACCGTCTCTGTCTCATGTTTAACTCTTTCTGAGTAAACACGTACTTCAGGCTTTTGTGGTCGGTGTATATATGACATGTTTCCCCGTAGAGATAATGTCTCCAAATCTTCAATGCGAACACCACCGCCCCCAGCTCTAAGTCATGAGTGGGATAATTTACCTCATGCTTCTTCAACTGTCGTGAAGCATAGGCAATCACCCTCCCATTCTGC